AAATCTATTCATTAATTCTGATTGGTCAAAGTTGCTTTATGTACGTACATGTACTCCAAAAATGTGTGTGGTTGTGAACATTTTACCCAATTTATTAATATTTCTTCTTTACATTTCTCTCTATATATATTTCTCAGTTTGCATCAGATTTTGTTGAAAAAATACTTTCCAAATCTGTGTTGGCACGGGAGATGGAAAACACCATGAATAAAGGGATACACGGCCACTCACAAATATTAACAGAAGAAATCCTTTCTACAGACCACCAGTTACTGAGTGTAGCCAAGATTAGCAACGATGTAGCAGGTATAATTGACATATCTTATGATGTAATATCATGCAAACAAACACACAAATTACAATATGCAATAATGTCATGGTATTTAAACATACTGATACTAAGTGAACCTTTTAAATTATTTTATTGAATTATTAATCATAATATGATATTTAACCTACTGATACTAGTTGCAATGCTCTGAAATATTCTATTGCACTACTACTTAATGCATATTATGATATTTAAACATACTGATACTACCATAATTGAAGCCTTTAAATTATTTTATTGGTTTATTGAAAACATAATATGATAACCTACTGATACTAATTGCATAACTCTGAAATATTCCGTTGCACTATTACCCAAAGGTTATCGCACAGAGCATGTTTGAATTTCATTTAAACAAACAATATATTTTACACATGTTGTGTACATCACTCATCGAACAGGATGTGACACGCCGACCACCCCGCTTTAATACATATAGTGATATTTAACATACTTATACTAATTAAAACACTCTGAAATATGTAATACCCTGATATTTGAAATGCTATATAATACAGTCATTATTATTATTACACTTTCTCTCAGTGTGAGAGATGGTTTTTCCATGCTTTAAGCCTCTACATATAACAGAGAATTAATTTTAATACTGTAGAATACTTTATTTTCGCTTGGAATTTATTTTCGCCATTTTCGCTGAAGGGAAGATTCCGTGAAAATAAAATCCAGCGAACATACTTTTTTTCCTATATTTCACATTAAACTCATCAAAAATCAGTGAAAATAAATTCCATACAAAAGGCCCAAAAAGCCTTTTCAGCGAAAATTAATTCCAGCGAAAATAAAGTATTCCACAGTATATTGCTAAATGTGCAATATTCCTGTGAAGTATGAGTACATCAGTACTGACATATACCCAACTATGGAGATATATTCTGTCTGATTTCAGTAAATCACACAATCATCCGTACTCATTATACTGTAAATGCATTGTTATTTTCTCCAGGAACTACTTGTCTCTTTGCCATGTTGGATGACAAAAACAAAAATTTGATTGTTGCAAATGTTGGGGACTCAAGAGGAGTGTTATGTGACCACGATGGGAAAGCTATTCCACTGTCATACGACCATAAACCACACCAGTTAAAAGAAAGAAAAAGAATTAAACGAGCTGGTGGATTTATTAGCTACAATGGAGTGTGGAGAGTGGCAGGAATTCTAGCAACATCAAGAGCACTTGGTGATTATCCTCTCAAAGAAAAAAACTTTTTAATAGCAGACCCTGATATCCTAACCTTTGACCTTGACGAATTAAATCCACAGTTTATGATACTTGCCACAGATGGATTATGGGATGCCTTCAGTAATGAAGAAGCAGTTATGTACATCAAAGAGAGGCTAGATGAGCCTCATTTTGGTGCTAAAAGTCTGGTGCTTCAAGCATATTACAGAGGTTCACTAGATAATATTACAGTCATGGTAGTGAACTTTTTGAAGACAAATGGCAAGAATTGGGTCAAAGAAGAGCGGAAGTTGTAATTTCAGCTATGTGTCCATATCAAAAAAGTTGTATGTTGACTGTAACTGTATGTCTACTGCATTGTGCAGCACCTGTGTATAGTTGTATAGTTAGATTTCACCCATAATTATGTTCTCCAATATGAAGGCATTAATGTATGAAATAGAAGTTATTTTGTCATCAACACAAATGGTTCTGCAGCTAGTCACGAAGTATGTCATTAATATTAGAAATCTGTCATGCAGAATTCAGAATTATTCTTAGATTTTTATAGAAAAAAAAGAGGACAAAATAGGCGCAGACATTAAAAGAAATCCCTAGCTGTATCTACATAGTGTCTCTTTTTGTCATGATGCTGCTCAACTTTGATTAATGGCTTGATGACGTTGGAAAGAAGCGGTCAGCAGGAACATAGAATCCGCTTTGACTTGAAGTTTGGTCAAGGAATAAAGGTGTCCTGAATAATTTTTAATTTGAATTGAATGACTGTTCAACATTAGCAAGTTTTGTAATAAATGTCACGGATGAGATACTCTTTTATTTTAGGCACTTTTTAATTAAAACATTTTGAAGTGTACAGTATTATGCTGTGAAAATTTTAACTCTATTTTCAGTAGAACAAAAAGTCAAAAATGTAATTTTTTAAGACATAATTTATACAACTTCATGTGTTTTACAAATATCCATCTACATGAGAAAAGTCTTCATAAAGTATATAATACATTACTTATGAATGGACATTAAAATAGTTGTTTCAATTTGTGTAATTATCATTTGAAAATGAAACTCCGGCACGAATAATGTGATAAGGCAAATTAGCATACTTTAAACTACTGAAAATTTTTACTTGGAATTTATTTTCATTTTTTTGCTGAAGTGATGAAAAATATCTTTTTTCCATATTTTACATTCAACGCATTAAAAATAATTGAAAAGAATCCTTAATACAAAACAGCCAAAAAGCATTTTCAGAAAAAATGCTAAAAGCTAAAATAAAGTATTTTACAGTATATCTCTGTAAATTTCTGTGCACACTCAACAATTTAAAATAGTTTCAACACCTCTTGTCCGATTGTTTTGAAATTTTGATTGATTGTATCAAAAGAATAACCAAGACAAACTTACCCTATCCCGTTTTTATCATCATGAATGGATGTTTCAAATGATATCAGACAGCACAATGGATAAAAAGTGTTAAGGCTAATTTTTTATGATTTTTGACTAGAATTGGTGTATTTGACACAAAATCAAGCCCATTTCATGATCACACATAATTACTGCATTTTTGATGAGCTGCCATATCCACCTTTCTGAATATACCGCTATATAACATGTCGTATCTCTATTAATTGCATCTGTATTTAAAAGTTTGGTTTGAAAGGTGCATCTCATCTTTAATTTGAGGTAAGCTAGGCAAGTGTACATTTAAAATTAGTTTTCATTAATTATAATACTGTAAAATACTTTATTTTCACTTGGAATTAATTTTCGCTATTTTCGCTGCGCTGAAGGGTTGATTCAGTGAAAAAAAAATCCAGCGAATATACCTTTTTTCCTATATTTTACATTCAACTTGACAAAAATCAGTGAAAATAAATTCCATACAAAAACACCCAAAAAGTCTTTTCAGCGAAAATTAATTCCAGCTAAAATAAACTTTTTTTTATTGTATTATAGTATTATTTTTTTATTTTTGTGTGCCAGGTGACAGTTCTGGACATTGAATGTCATTGTTGTCTTTCTCAAATTTTTTTTCAAGGCCAAAGTGTTGACACATAGTGCATTTTTGCCACAGAAGCCATATTCATGTTTGGGTCTACATGACAATGACAATTTAGTGCGTTAGTCCAGCGTCAACCAGACCTGTAACAAAGGCACCCCCAAAATTGCATTTGTTAGTGACTGAATCTCAACCAGTAGATTTAGCCTTCCCATTGAGTCTGTGACACACCTACTCAGGGTAGTGGTTGACCCCATTTGGTGATCATGAGTCATTTGATGATTTCTAGATGTGTGCACACTGTCTACTGGTTTATCCTGATCGCTCTAGCATACATTGCTGTAAAATTTACTTTGATTAATGTTCTATTATCAGCAGCTGGTATACTGGAATTCAGGTCATGGTTATTTATTTATCAAATAGATATGATTAGATGAATTTCTACAATTTAACTAACAATGGTTCATAATGATGATTCAGTTAAAATCATGTAATTGCAAAATTTTAGGTTAACTTTCATCTTCATATACTACTCAAATCTAAACAGGTTCACATTTTAGTTTGAATTGAATGAAATTATTTTAAAACTTATGATAAATAAAACTACAAATCTTGTTTAATTATCAGACACAAATTTCTCACGTAGACTTGAATCGTGAAAATCTTGTCAGATAATGCTGAAGTTGCTTGGTGTGGTATTTACAGTGATTGAACTATTAGTGTAAATTTTACTTGTGCATTGAATGATTACAGAGGCTGTAACATTCTGTAAGTAGAGTGTTCAAGGCAGTGCACTGATAAATAAATCAAACACCAGCTGCTGAGGTACATGCAGGTCACAAGTGATACGAGAAGAATTTATTGTGGGATAGAAATGAGCACAAAACTTTAATATTCTTTTAGATATACGTTATATTAATTTCATATTTCATACTTCAGCATCTTGCTTGAATCTACTTAGTTGTAATTGTTGTCAGAGATAATTTATTGTTTTCTTTTATTCACGTAATAAATTTACAAGAATGATGCAACACTCTATAAATCGTGTTAAATCATGGTATAAGGTCACATCATGAATGTGAATACATGTAACAGTTGAGTTTATTATCTGTCTTGGAGGCCAAATGGTGGGTTATATGCGTAGTGCCTTCAAGAGCTAACATACTGGTCAATGACTTATTTTGTGACAGTTGTACATCAGCCAATTGCACACAAACTGGTGTGTATTCCCTTAACTTATGCAAATGTCTTTATAATTATGTACTATACTCAAATATTTGTTTGTTTTATGATTCTTGTCTAGTTCAGTCATTGTGTGAATTCTTTGTTATCTGTGTTCAGATGTTCAGTTAGATTGGTGAAAAATTATTATTTGTATTATTTCACGAATTTTTGTAGCTATAGATATTGTCTGACTATACAGGTGTACATTAAACGAGCATTCTTCAAACATCTCATTTCATGTGTGTTCTTCCGTTTGCCCGCTTTCCCAATGCTGCCTGGGTAGGATGGGTGTAATTGGCAGCAACTTAATAAACAATACAAATTGCAGTCTTTCTGTAGTTTTTATAGATTATGGCATCGCTAGCCAACACCAATTTGGTTATTAAGATATCATCTAAATACCTGGTAGACAAATATGGGTAGGAATCCCACTGTTGAAGCAGACATGTAGGCATTTATGGAAACAGACATCTGTGTAAGACAAAGTATAAAACAATAATTTAATACCATAAACACCTTGAATCATAATCCTACAAAAGCAAATAGATATAGAAAAAGAGCACAGTCCTACTTTAAGGTAGCCTTGGCCCTAAATTTGTTACCTTTCGAATGTGATGCTTTTGAAATACATGTAATAACCAAAACGTGACTTTAATAAAAATGGCATCACATCTAAATAAGATAAATACATCCTTATATTGGTCCAATAATAGTAACTTAATTAACAATACCCCAGAACTAGTTTTGATTATTTGATTCGTAGCATGTCACAGCATTTACAGTAAAAGAAAATTTATACTTATTTACTGTATTTTGTTCGCTGGGTGTGTTTACAAATATATATGTAAAAACAGTATAATCCATTTTTGAGAAAACAAGAATTTATAAGCACTGTGATGACGCAATGTGTTGATGCGACTTTCAGTTTGTATTAAAGCTGTGAAAAATAATGACCATATAAATTTGAAAATAAAAATCTGGTTTATTATGAAGTACTACTCGACAAAGTATTTGGGTAAGAACATTAATATGGAATGATACTGTATCGTATAGGTATGCCGAAGGTCTCATCGCGTGCGCCCGCTGTGGTGGAAATGAAATAAACTTTCTTCACAGAGAACTAGGAAATCATCATTTGGTTAGGCATGTACATCGGCCTACAACACGGCGTTTGTACGCAAAATATTACGGCAAGCCTACAGAGAGATCATTCGCGGAGTCTCAAAGCAGAATTAAGCTCTGGCGGCGATAATATTCATGCAAAGTACAGTCCCTCAACACCTCTGTGCAAAGCAAACCGTTTTCGTTCGAGTTTCGCAAATGTGAAAACGCGCCCTCTATCAACATATACTGCGTAGCTCGCCAGAAAGTTGTGTTTCTCCACGTTGTTGTAATAGTTTAATTCAATATTATATCGCAGTTACCCAAACGACCAAGAGGATGGCAACAAAACACGACGTTCTAGAGTGACGTCAGCAAGATATCGATTTGTGCAAGTTTGTAAAGTTCTGATTCACAATGAGAAAGCCCGGCCTTTGAAAGCCGGGACTGCCTGCAAAGAATTCTTCACGAGTGCAGCCAGCGAACAAAAAGTTTAAAAACATGAACATTTGCAAACATATTCTAATCTAACTACTTGACAAACTAAATTAGAAAGGACAGATTTATTTGGGGGGAAAAAAGCTGTTCATTTCTGCCCTCCACTAACAATACACAGTTTCTCCCCCATTTCCTTTATCAATATAGGATCTTCGACCCGTCAATGTTTCTTCTAAACTACTGTAAAATACTTTTTTTGCTGAAGGAATTATAAAATTCAGCGTATATTCTTTTTCCTTATATTGACGTGCAGGTGCAACGTAAATCGACGTAAGGGGCGTACCATTCGTGCTTTCAAAGTTTTAACGTGAAAAAAGCAAGGTGTTAAAATTAGGGAAATAATGCAATTCCAGCTCATATAATGTTAAACCAATCTTCCCTACATCCTACTCGATTCCCCGCAATTGAGCTCTACCTGATGCCCACTAATCATATGAATATAAGGAAAATAAAATCAATCTGAAATGCCCACTGCCCTATTAAATAGTGTATTTTCCTCCTGCCCTGCCCACTATAAATTCTAAAAAATAACGCCCTACGCCCACCACCCTTGTGTTTTTTTTTGTTTTTTTATTGAGACCATTCGTCTTCTAGTGCGTTCGTACAGGTATTTAAAAACCCCACGTAGCCATAAAGTTGTTATTCATATCTGAATATCGTGGAGGTAGAATGGTCATGTAAAACAACACGGAGCTGTACACCAGGTGTGGCTTCTAACAGGCCACAATTCCTTATGAGAGAAAAAGGGCGCTCTCACATACGATTCCTCAACTGGCTATATGAAAATATTTTTGTATGTATTTTGTTCAAGAATTAAACATCTGACCCAAGACGGTCGCAGGGGATGCAAGTAATTTTAAGACTCTTTTTTTTTGTTTATTATTTTTTTTATGTTTTATTTTTAGAATAATCTAGTTGACATGAACACGTTAGATATTGTTCCCAGTGTAATTAAGCGAAATAAGGCTTGTTCTATATTCATGTGCCCATAGAGGGCGATGTTGCGGTTACAATGATGTACAAATGCACACTGGGTGGTGAACACGCCATTATTTATTTACTAACTATTCTCTTATTGTCACACGTCACTTTAATAAACAATACTACTACTACTACTACTACTACTACTAAAATGCAAAGCGTATTTGATGAATTTGTATCAATTTATTCGCGTGATACGCCAACATGGTGGCATGAACTTATACTTGTTTACGTGTAGTTTATAGTTGTATTTGCGTGGAAGATATAAAAATATGTACAAACCGTAACGGATGGACCATGATTTGTATGGGTTACAAGACCCAATTTGTATCTGTAGATGATATTTATATCGTCGAATTAATCAAATGTATATTATGTGTTTATTAGATTTAGCTAGCTTAAATATCATAGACAATATATATATATATATAGCTTAGCTATTTCTATTCGAAAGGCACTATTGTAGTGATTATCACACTATCAGTGTGATTGACCTGTCGACAGGCTTTTAAGGGTTGGGTTTTCTTAGAAATGTTGTTTTACTTCAGATGTGAATCTAGCCTGACAAGTTGG